TTTTTTCAAATAATATATGAATGATAATTAATTTTTTATTAGATATAACCGCTTAAATATGTTAATATATATAAAAGTATCACATGCAGAGTTAATTATGTAAATAAATAAATAGATAAAAATATTTTTTAAGAGTTAATATTAAGGTTTTAATATTTATTTAATAATTAGTGTTTTAATATTTTTTTATTAAAAAAAGCTAAAAACTACCAACGAAACTGTTGGTTTGAGTGAAAAAAAATAGTTTTTTAAAAAAATAAAATCTTGAGTTTGAATCTTTTGAATAGAGAAACAAATGTTTGAAAAACTTTTACTAATGGAGTTCAAGTCGATTCGATTTCAGATTAATTGAGATCTAATGTAATTATCGAATACTAAGAGATCGAAAAAAAAAGAAGATAAAAACTGTAAAACAAAGAAGCATAAAAGCAGAATTTTTATAGAGGTTGGATCAAATGGAAGTATCTCTATTTTTTTTAATTAAAATTTTAAATTTAAATATTATAAATAAAAAACTATTGAAAAAATTTTTATTTATAAAATTTAATACAGTTAAGCGCTAGACTCGCTGTGAGTAAATGTAACCTAATGTTACTTTGACTCTTTGAGATGTAGGAGGTTCGTGTATATATATATATATATATATAAAACCTTTATGGAGAACTGAAAATAATATTTTCCCAAAATTTACGTCCACAGTACTTGACTTTAGTGCGGTATCGTCCACTCCGCGGCATAAATTACTTTCCCCTTCATCCTTGTTATCCCCTTCCCTGCCGTAAATACCGACAGTTGAAGGAAGGAGCAGAAGAGCTGCAGATTTAAGAAATAGAAGGAAGCAGCGCACGAGTCCGAAGGGCTAAAAGGTTCCGCGCTTACACTTACCCCTTTCTTTGTCCCTATTCAGTTCCAGGGACTCGCATTTCTATATCTTCATGTGTTTTGCAAAGCACGAAGCTGTTGCATCTTCTTCTTCTTCTTCTTCTTCTTCTTCTTGTTGGGCATGAAAATAGTTCTGCCTTCAGTCCCTCCATTTCTCCTGTTTCATTGCCTGCTTTATCTGCAGGTATTGTGTTTTTTCTTTACTTCTTCTATAGATGTTCATTGCTCTTCTTCTCCTCCTCCATATGGGTTTTCGTTTGATTGGGTAATGGTTTTAGTTTTCCGAAACAGGTAGTGAAATTTCAGTTTCCTTTTATGGGGTTCTGTTTGTTTTTTAGTTTTTTTTTTTTTATTTTTTATTTTTTAACCTCAATTTGAATTCTGTAATAGTGTAGAAATTCAAAATTTTAGAAATGAACACGAATTTTCGGTGCATTTAATGCAGTAAGCATCACGGAAATGCTATTATTTCCCTGTCAGCGGATACCATTCAGTACAAGTTGATGGCAATGCCTTCTTTATTGCTGAAAATGTTGTCATTTTACCGCTGAACTTAGTGTTTGACAAAATCTCAACTTAATTTATTTCGTGGGATCTTTTTCCGTTCTACCGAAAAAGCTTTTTCTTCCTTTTTTTGGTGGAGAAAAAGCTTTAATTCTATTATAATTCGTAATGAAATTGCAGGAATTCATTTGAGAAGCTGAGAGCTGAAGATGGATTCGAGCAGGAAAATGCTTATTGCACTTATTGTTGTTTGCACTTCACTGGGTGCAATCATACTTTCTTTATGTTTTCTGTGGATTCATTACTGGAAGAAGAAGTCGCGGAAATCTGGAAAAAATGATGCTAAGAACTCAGGTACCTTTATTTTTCTTTGTAGCAAAACGGTCCCTTAAATTTTCCTTTACTGTTTGTGGGTATCAGAGAGTTTAAATTATGGAATTGTTATGCCTTTCTTTTTTTTTTTTTGGTTGTTCTGGGTCTAAGATTCTTTCTTCTGACTTTTTTTTTTGGATTTGGAGAAGTGGAGAAAGGGCATTCGCCAGCATCGTTTTTGGGTGATTTCCGTTCCCTGAGAACAGTTTCTAAGATGGGATATGCTTCATTTATGGATTATAAGATACTTGAAAAGGCAACTAGCAAGTTTCATGATGGTAATATTTTGGGTGTGGGTGGATTTGGGCGAGTCTACAAGGCTCAATTGGAGGATGGTTCGTGTGTTGCTGTCAAGAAGCTGGATTGTGCAACCCAGGATGCAGGGAAAGAATTTGAGGTATCATTTCTGGGGAATTTTGCATTTAACGGTTTGGATGTTTTTGTAGTAGTATCATTTATCTTAGATAACACTTTTGATGTCTGTATTCCTGTATTGCAGAATGAAGTGGGTTTGTTAAGCAAGTTTCAGCATCCAAATATAATTTCCTTAGTGGGTTATAGCATTGAAAGTGAGACAGGATTCATTATATATGAATTGATGGACAATGGTTCTTTAGAAACTCAGTTGCATGGTGAGACCTCATTCTCTAATGAAGAGCTCATGATTTAATCATTTTAATATCTGAATTTTGTTGGAACTATGTTAGGACCTTCTAATGGATCAGAATTGTCTTGGTATCGGCGGATGAAGATAGCCCTTGATACAGCAAGGTGAGTTTGCAAGCCATGTGTATTTTCTTTGCTTAATGCTGTTTGATGATTAATGCTATATAATTTTTGATTTGTTAAGCAGAGGATTAGAATATCTACATGAGCATCACAATCCACACATCATCCATAGAGATCTGAAATCGTCTAATATTCTTTTGGATTCCAATTTCAATGCAAAGGTAATAAACAAGAGAAGTATCAAGTCTCTGACATTTTTGATACTAGAATATATAGCTGCTAGACATTATTGGTGGCTTCCATTAAATTTACAGAAGCTTGCTTTCCTCTCATGTTGTCTGGATACAGCTTTCAGATTTTGGTCTTGCAGTAATTGATGGGGCCCAAAAGAAGAATGATCTCAAGCTTTCAGGCACTGTTGGTTATGTGGCACCAGAGTACCTTTTAGTTGGTATGTCCACAGCCACTAAATTGGTTATTAGTTCCCTACATGTCTATTACTTTACTCTCTTTTTTCTTTCTGCCTACTTATGGATAACATAATTGTTATTCTGGATCTGTGATGACTTTTCAATTATAATTACTCTACTCTATATATGCATTTTCTTTTTTTAATTTCCTTACCAGTTTATTCTTCTAAATTAACTTAACTCTCTGCATGTTCTATCACTGGGGATGCAATAGTCTAAAATTTGCTTTGTTTTCATTCCGAGTCAGAAGTTGAGTATCCTAATAGAATGAAGTTGCATGTAAAATACTGTAATTTTATGTGAAATACTGTAATTTTGTTGAAAGTGGGTCTTTTGGTGATATACAATAGTCATCTGTGGTGTACTGACCCTACTTTCCTCCCCATACCGCACTTTTCAAATTCATGGTAGGGAACTTAAATATATTTTCATTTTTTTTTCTAGGTAAATTAACAGATAAGAGTGATGTGTATGCTTTTGGTGTGGTGCTTTTGGAACTTCTATTTGGAAGAAAGGCTGTAGAAAAGGAGGCATCAGCTCCGTGTCAATCTCTTGTCACATGGGTATGCCATGCTGTTAATCCCCATTGCATACTAATTTATTTATTTATTTTTTAAAAACCACTGACTTATTTGTTCATGAATACAGGCAATGCCTAAGCTTACCGACAGATCCCTACTTCCAGAAATCCTCGATCCAGTGGTAAAAAATACCATGGATTTGAAGCACTTATACCAGGTTGGTAAACTTACTTATGCAAAGTCATTGCCTTTAACCTACTTTCCTTCTTGTCTTTGTCTAAAAATTCAATTAGATCCAAATTGACTATGGATGAAACCAAGTATCCCATTGTTAATTTGAGTTTCTTCGAAAGTAAGTTTGGAATTTGGTAGGTTGAGAGCATGTTTATACAATTTCTAAGGTTGGTTTTGTTCATTTTGTGTGCTTTGACGTAAGTTTCACAAGTAATTCAAGTACTACTAAAATATAACCACAATCCAATTTTCCTTTTGGCTTTTACTTTTGCTCAATTAGAATTTCAGAACTAGATCTAGGTGGCTGGGGATAGGTGGATTTGGGTGTCTTTGTCTTGACAATTTGAAATCATGCACACCATCCTAATAATGAAAAGGGTAGTTTGGCTATTGGTCCCCGAAGTAGCATAACTTGCATTCGTATTGTTGTTTTGACAATATACTGAGGAGAATAGCCATTGCCATGTTGTAGGTTGCTGCAGTTGCTCTACTATGCGTGCAACCAGAACCAAGCTACCGTCCATTGATAACCGATGTTCTGCACTCTCTCATCCCACTTGTTCCAGTAGAGCTTGGTGGAACACTAAGAGTCTGAGACAACCTTCAGTCTCCTAAATCCTACGTTACAATGTCAGCATTGACAACAAATCTCCACATTAAATTTCAATTTCTGATGCCACTGTAAGATTTTAGCTGTTTCGTTGATAAAATTGAAGTGTCCTTTTCATGTGCCTAACCTAAATATACAGAAGGAAAAAAAAAAAAAGGAAAAAAAAAGAAAAAAGAAAAAATGAGAAGAAGATAGATCACACATTGAGATGAGGGTTGGTTGGACTGCTGTAGAATGTAGAGGCTTCTGTCATTAATTTTTGGAAAAACAATGGAACACGGATTATGCTTACAGAAGTCTCTTGATTGCTGAAGATACGCAACCTCATTACATTTAAAACATGAAAGTTATTAAGGTTAATCGTCAAATTAAGATATGACACGAGTTCATGCCAAAACCCAAAGATATCTGTTGAAAGAAACTTCAAACTTTTAGCTTTTTCTCAACAAACAAACGGTATGAGGAAATATTCAGCATAGATCAGCTGCAGTAAGAAAAATAGATTAGGAATATAAAACACGAAGGTTAGGAATAAAGAACAAATGGAAGGAAGAACTGAGATGAAATTTTAACTACTTGCCTTCCAAATAAACATATAAAATGAAGCGATTGATGTTTTGTTGGTGAGATCAACTGATTGAGTTTGAAACACGAAGAAGTTAGCAAGCAAGCAGTGGCCAGTAATCTTCATACAAAAAATGAAAAAGAAAAAAGAAATCCCATTTAAAAGACATAATTGCGCAAATTTTAGTAGTACTTGCATTACTTGTGAAACTTACGTCAAAGCACACAAAATGAACAAAACCAACCTTAGAATTTGTATAAACATGCTCTCAACCTACCAAATTCCAAACTTACTTTCGAAGAAACCCAAATTAACAATGGGATACTTGGTTTCATCCATAGTCAATATGTTTTTTTTTTTTTTGTCTCCTAATGGTAAAGTGTGTGTTTTAGTGAGCTGATACATACAGTGATTAGCCTGCTCCAGAGGGATGATGAAGTAGCTCCTACCACCAGAGCAACTCCATATGCCATTAACAACATTTTAACACAAAGCCAGAATACTTTACCATTAGGAGACAAAAAAAAAAAAAAACATATTGTTTAGCATGAATGATAAATATAAGAGTTTTTTGTTTTGCAGTTTAGATTGCACTAAATTACAAAATAAAGATTGCTGAATGGGAAGACAATCTTCAATATCAAAGGACTCGTTTTTCATCTAACAATTCTTGTTGTGTAGTTCAAACTACACAATCATTTTTCGTAAATACAAATGATGAATATGGTACAACATAAAAAAGGCACTTGATTCTTAGTTTTTGTACCTTTTCTTTTCCTATCTTGACTTTCATTGATTGGATGCCAAAAGCTTTGTCACCTTCAACATCAGGAATGTCCTGTGAAAGGCCAAGTGAAGTTATGTCATAATAGTCCATTATATATATGCTATATACTCAAGGGTCAGGCCAGCAATTTGAACCTTCAATAGTGATTTAAAGGGTTACCTTGAATAGTGAAGTTAAAACAGCAAAGAAGCTTGAAGCAACTGCGGCAAATACCAGTGATTTTGTAACCACTATTGGCTTGCCAAGCACATATTTCTGTTCATATATGTTGACAATTTTGTTGGTAGATTAAGATAGAAAAAAAATATAAAATGAAGACTCATGATAATAAGTTACTTACAGAATAAAGAATTAAATTTTTACGTGAATGTGTGTAAAGCAACCAAAAGTGACAGCAATAAACATGATCATCATGCTAATGGCCTCAAGAAATGGGTGATTCTTCCATCTAAGCAAAGGAAGCTTTGCAAGGCAGATGAATAAACTCAATTAATATACCAAACAACTCAAATTATGTGATTTTAGTTATTTTTTCTTTTCTTTCACTCAGAGATGACTCTTTTCCATACTTTAATTATTCAACCACTAAAAAGAAGATTACCATTAAATTATTTAGCTAAGTAGTAATTTTAATTTTCTTATTAAGTATGTTTTACACAATACATAATTAGAGAATTTCAGAAGCTTCATAGGCTACCTGCAGAGAACTTACAGCAATTGAGTACGCACTTCCGGCAAGGAAAAGAACGAATAGGGCTAAAAAGAGTGATGGAGATAACATAATTGCCATAACCAGACTCTGAAAAATGAAATTCGTAAATTTAAACAGGGGGCGTAATTAACTTATTTAATTGTCATTATTCATTCAGGAGGGATGCTTACCATTGAAAAAGCTGCAGAAGTAATAGCTATTCCAGTTTCCTTTGACAAGTCACCAGAAGCTAGAGGTAGATATGGTTTGTTTATCTATAAATATGTAGTAAAAGCATGAAGAGCTAAGGATTTGCAATTTGCAGAGATGCAAACATGCCATTCTTTCCATAGAGCAATTTGCATAGGTGGAAAATACAACACCTACATGTAAGTAAGTGTCATTTTGTAGTTATAATTGAGATTTACAGTTTAAGTCATAGAGCAAGCGCACAAGGAAACTAATTTCCTTGAATTAATTTGAGGCTGATGTAGGGGTGTGTTTCTTTCCTTGCAACACTAGAGGCTAATGTAAGAGTGTGCCCAACATGTAAGCAAATTAATTTCTTGTAGGTTAAATCCTTAATTTGATCCTTCATTTTGGTATAGACCTCTAGTTTGGTCCTTAAACTTTAAAAAGCATCTTTGTTTTGATCTCTAAAATTTGAGATTTTGGCTCTATTTTGGTCCTTCCATTAACTTTTTGATGAGTTCCATTAGCTTTTTGATTACATGGCATAACTTTCATTAAGTAATTAAGTTTGATAATTTTTTAACAAAAAAGTGTTGTGTAAGTTAAATCGTTTCTTAATGTATAATACTAAATACTAGATGGGATAGACTCCCAACTATTAAGGGCTCCATCTAGTAGCCTTTATTTTAGAGTCCGGTGCAGCCCAAATGGTAAAACAAGGGACTATTTTTTAATAACACATGGAAATGAGATAAAAATTAAGTGAGAAAGGTGTAGGGTGAGGAGTTTTCCCATATCAGTAAAGTTGAAAATCCTCCCCTCATACCTTGATCCTTCTTCTTTTGCTTCTTTTTCTTCTTCTTCCTCTATCTTCTTCCTCACTCACCTATCTTCACCTAGTTTGTGCTCCTCTTCTCTATTAGTAAAATCCATTAAAAATATAATAAATACATTTTTTATAATAAATTTATATTGAAAAAATAAAAGTTGTCTTTTAATTTATTAATTATTTAATTAAATTTATCAATTTTACACTAACGTTAAAATTAAAGTTAACTTTTACTTTTATATATATATATTTATAAGAAAAAGGCACTTTTGAATTATACTTTAAAGGCATGTCTTAAAATATCCCATTAAAAATTTATCAAAGTATTTTTATTACTTGATGAGAGTCATGCCACATAATAAAAAGGTCAATGGAACTCATTAAAACATCAAGGGAAGGATCAAAATAGAGTCAAAGGGCATATTTAGTATAACAATTAAAATTCAGCAAATAATAGATAATGGGTAGTGTACAGCATATAGTAGTAGTAGATAGCAGATAACAAATAGCAAAAAAGAAAAAAAATGGATAACGGATAATAAATAACAGATTCGATTAATATAACTGTTCGATTATATATTAGTTAGTAGTTGTTATTTAAAATTAAATGACTAATAATGACATGTTTAAAAATAACTAAATATATTTTTTTCTTTTTACATATTTTATTATTAAAATTATTAATTTTATAAAAATAATAAAAAAAATATTATATTATGTTAGTGTAATTATACACTAATTTTTATTTTTGATAAAGAAAAAATGATATTAGTTTTAAAGAAAGTAAAAAAAAATTTAATCTTTT